ATTCATAAAGATGTTTTAATAGTTATACTATTTAACTTTTGAGGAGAAATTACATTTAATATATAATTAATATAATTAGTAAATTAAATTTATATTTTTAAATAATGTTCATAAGTATCATATTCAAAAGAAGAAATATAAATTATTCAAATATCTTTCATTGACTCGCTATCAGTTTCCCAGCATTGATTGTCTGTTGCTCTCTGTTTTTCATCAACAGAATTCTCTTAAATAGATACACAGTCAACTAGATTGTCAGATAATCATGGTGTTATTATGATGATTATGTATTTAAGTAATTCTTTGATTGTCAGCTACACCAATAAATATTGAAAAATATAGATATTGTTGATGGATCAGAGTTCTATCCTACAGTCACGGTATAAATTTATGAGCAGTACCGGTCTTTGTAATAACAAGAAAAATACAATACAATTCATATATGTAATAAAATATGTAAGTCTTCAAATAGTTCATGAAAAAGAGTGATCGTGTAAGTAAATTAATTCTACACTAACATGTAAACACCAAGAAGGACATGGCAAATGTTATGTCCTACTGCTCGATTCAAAAGCAAGGAATTAAACGGGGTTATCACATGTGGCAATGTCAACGTGAACGTATAAAACCTCAAATTGCTCCAGCCATTTCTACCTTACCTTACCAAAAAAAATCTAATACAGAGGCAAGATAACTTTCATAGTATCGTCTCTCATAAGGTCCATCAAATTGAGTGCTCTACTGTTGCATATATTTAACTCTTATATCGCAAAACTTCGTTCCGCCAAAAAATCCTGGGGAGAATGATTCAACAGTGTCAAATTGCATGAATCAACAACCATATGCTCATCAAGGCTGCCAAGTTCAAACCATGTGCCACAAGAATATTAAATGGATGGTAACTTAAAATTCATGGAAAAATCAGTCGATAGGCAAATCAAGTCAAAACTTACAATGTCTAAAATTCATAACATTTCTGGGGATACCAACAAAACAAAAAAACTGATTTAGAATTAATCCCACTACTACTTTCATTCCGTACAAAACAGAAGCAACTCAAAAGATTCTGTTTGAAGGGCCCATGGTGCTCTTCAAGTATAGGCACCTCACCTGCAACCAAAACAGATTCCAAATTCAATCAGATTACATAATCAACATCATGAAAATAATGCCAAAATCCCATATAAGAGGGCAAGCAACCTGAACGTATGCCAAAAAGATAAGAAAACTCACATTTTGCCAGTTTTTCTTCAATAATGAAACAAGGAAATTGACACTCATTTGCACATTTTGGAATATCTGCTTCTCCTCCATGGCAACATTTCCAACGGCCACACCCATGCAAAGAACCTTCTTCAACTGGAACTTAACCATTGCCTTGGTCTCATTCACCTTGGACTCTAGGGACTCTTGGTGAGTAACAAGGGTTGGGAATTTCCCTACATTTGTGCATGACTTAGCAATGTGAGGTAAAAGTTCATAAATCATAACTGAAATGCAAAATGAGTGAACTTAGGACTTCCTACAAATGCCTTGGGAGTGCAATGTTAATACAGCTGAAAACATGCCAATAACAATGCTTTTATTAACAATGCTTTTATATGTTACTTGCCTGCTTTGTTGAGACCAGGACCTAAAAGACGAGGGATTTGCTTGATGACAGATTCAGAAGCCAAAAAAGCATGATACTTCTTGGCAAGCTTCTTCACTAACTTCTTATTCTTGTTTAGTTTTTTCAATGCTTCTACATCCATATAATCCAAACCAATTTTCTCTGCCTGTATTATTAAACCATTCAAAACAAAAAGTTAAATGCAAAAATGACCATTCAAATACTAGATGTATACACTGAGCATAATGCGCATCTTATACCGGATTCCAAAAATAAAGCATTCTTCTAAGAAATATAAACAAACAAAATTTCACCGAAGAAATCTGCAAAATCACCTCTTCAACGTGTTGAGCATCTCCAAGCATGCAAATTTTCATCTTGGGGCGTGGAATGTGTGGCAGCTTCACAGATCCACTGAAACGCTTATCCTTTTGGGGATCATAGTTTTTCAGGCCAACTTGGAGTTCAATAGTCTCAGTAAATTTGCGTTGTTTCTCCTTGGACTGAGCTACAATTGTTGAAATTGCTTCTCTAAGGGCATCACTCTGAAGCTTACTGTAAATAAGAAATCCAAAATCTTTAAGCAAAGAAAACCATAAACAACCAGATAACAAAAGAATAATCCGGGCAACTTAAACATCTCAAACTGAAAAAAAAATGAGCACCCCAGAACACAAAGATCAAGCCAATGCTTTGAACTAAGCTAAGCAAACCCAGGAATAAAGGTAGTTCCCCTAACAAATAATGCTGATCCAAAATTGACAACTATGATTTACCGTCAAAGCTAAAATTCTACGACAAAGAGAAAAAAAGTGAGAGTCTCTAATATGAGTAAAAACTAAACACACATAATAACAACGCCATTTTCAAATATTTCACAGATTAAAATACACAACAGATTATTCTATATTTCTATTAAATACAAAGGATTCAAACTCTTCTAATTCGAGTACAGTAAATCAACAATCAGTAGAAAAATTAAAATAGTCTCATCTCTGAATCAGTAACTAATCAATGTACCTAAGAGGATTATCCTGGAAAGCACGTATGAAAAAAAAGAATCCAAAATCTACTAATCCGTGTCCAACAAATCAATAATCAATAGCAAAGTTAAAATTACCTCATCTCTGAATCTCAGTTCTTTCCACGAAGCAAACTATGAACTTTTACCTGCAAAACAACGTTACCAAGTCATTAAAAAATAAGATCCGTGAGGAAATGGGAGTTGTGACATGGAACGGTTTAGCGATAAAGAGAGCAGTTAGTAGGTAATGCATACCAGAGAATAAAAAACCCTAGCCGGTCGTGGCTTTTGGGGAAATATATATACAGGCGGTGCAATAAAATGATATTGAGCCATTGGCAGTCAATCCCAAGTTCATTTGGTCTAAGGGCTTGGTTTCTGTGAGTTGAACCCGGCTCAGATTAGAAATAGATTGACTCAGCCCAAACACTTATTTTTACGACTAAACATGCACGTTACTTGTTTTGGCCATGAATCAAATAAATTATCCTTGTTTTTTTCACTTTAAATTTGTTAAAACATTTGCTTCATCAAAGAAATATCGAGTAATATAATTCTTACCATATTTATTCTATTTTTCTATGTAAATTTTTATTTTTATTATATTATTCAATTAAAAAATCACATTTATCTCGTATATATATTTGACCATCAAATTCATTTTCTAAATTCATCCGGTTCAGTCTCCGCCTAAGAGCCTTTCTCTTCTTGAGTTTATAAAAAACTTTTGGCACTTGAACTTTACGCTTTTTTTTTCGATTTTAAGATTTCGTCTTGTTCAAATCAATCCGCTTCGCACATCTGATTTTGGTAGATGAGTCTCTCAACAAAGATTTTTTGCATACACAATAACTCAAATCGAGACCTTGTTCAAGCAATATTAAACTAGTTATCACTTGAACCAATCTCTATCGATAACTTTAAGCCTTTTTTCAAACCATTACTTAAAAAAATGATTTCAAATTAACACATGAACTAGGTATTTTCTCCAATACTTAAAAGAATTTTTATTGTCATATTAGTACCTGAATTCTAATTCCATTTATTGTTTTGGTACTTTAATTAATAATTTTGTTTAATGACGTCATAAATTGATAATGTTAGATCAATAATGACATAAGACAACTTTAAATTTTATTAAAATCTATGAAAAATTAATAAAAAAAAACAAGTTAGAAGATCTCAAATCTCATACAGTTCATGCCTAAAACACTTGTAATAAAGCAAAGTCATCGATGTTGTGTCGGTTCTTTTTTCAATAGTTTCTACACGTATTGATTTATATAGTTTTAAGAAAATCAAACTCTAATTAAGTGCAAAAGCGAAAAGAAAACAAATAAAAACAATGAAAAAAGAGAGAAAAATATTATGATTTTAGTCTAAAAAACATATGAAATGTCATGAGTAAATTATGTGTACTCTATGTAGGTATTTACAAATGAAATCTGCCTGAAGTTGTCTGATTAAAAGAAAAAGGTTTTCGTCATAATTTTGGTGATTAAGGGAAAATAATGGGTGACAATTCATTAGAATGAGCCAATATACCTGATGGAACACCAAATCCTGATGAATTAATGTCTTTGTTAATCAATGATGTCAAAGATGAAAACCCAGAAGATGAACAACTGCAAGAAAGCAGCAAATTCCTACTGCAACCTCCAACAATGGTACCAAACCAGCAGAAGAATCATGCCGTTATGTGAGATGTTGAAACTGTATCTTCGTCTTTCCTAAAGGATTAAATTATTCAGAATAAGATGATGAGGATTGGAGGGTGTTTAGTGAGTCCACTAGGGTTCACTTATACTCAAATGCATGCTTTGCCTGCACATTCACCATTAGGAAGTGATCTTCAAAGCTCGATAGAGTTGTTCGTAATGAATGATTGATCGGTTAACATTAAAGGACGAAACCAAATGCAAGAAACCATTGGAGAGGACAAAGAAAGAGGATGAATAAGACCAGAAACAGAAGTTCAGCTGCAAAATCTCGAGCCAAGGCTCAGGTAGGTATACTGTATACATACATTTATAGCTAGCAGAATCCTGGAACTTAGCCAAGTTATGTCTGGAATTCGTACTTCTTTTTCAATATAATGAGGCTATGATCTCCATTCATTCTTTTATAGGAGCATACGAGATTTCTGGGGGGGGGGGAAACTGGTGCAATTGAGAAATGATAATGCTCATTTGATGAAATTACTTTAACTGATGAGAGACCAAACATTTCTTCTTGAAAAAGATATGGAAGAAAATATACAGATTTTATGTAAAAACAGAACTTATGGCCGTATATATATATATATTAAACGTTCTTAAGAGAAATAAATACATACCCCATAATTTTAACTGTGATCTATATATCTTGAAAACAGTCATATTTTTGCATTATGATCGAGAAGCGGCTGAACAGAAATGATAACCCGCCAATTCCTTTTAGGTTGGATGTTTAATACCTGCGTGGAAAAGGATTGAGCATTGTATTAATTTCTTCTGCTGGATGTACAGGAAAGAGAAGAGATTGAGGAGAAAAGGCAAACAGTGTTTAGAAATTAGAAGACTGCATATATAGGGAGGTTGAAGCTCATCAAGATCAATGGTGGTGAGACCAAATAACAAAAGGGGATTGTATGGTTCATTTTAAGGCCAATAGATTCATCATTATACATCCAATATAGCAAGATCCGAGTATATAATTATATATACTGTAAGAAACTGTTTGCCTTTAGTAGACCAGTTTAACAAAAATAAAGAAAATAGATCAAACTGCTGCAAGATTTTTGATAATCAGATCTCAGCATTAATGGGTTCATAGAGTGCATAAACATTTCATCAGATCTACTTTATATTTGTACCTAAAAGCAGTGGCTAGTTAATGAGGTTTACAGACTTTGTGATCCGAAACAGATAAAATGTTGTTTCCACAATAATATGGAAAGCATCAACATGAAATAATTACTCAACACATACTTCCAAGCCTCATGAATCGTTGAGAACTGCTTCTTCTTCCCTCAGCCATAAGCGCTTTACGAGCAGAAGCGAGTCCAGAGGGAGCTAACAATGAATCAAAAGAAGAACAATCCATCCAGTCTCTAAGCAACTCTTCTTTACCCCATTTATCAGGTATCGAAACTCTTCCTGCAACCTCTTCTCTGTGTCTTTTAAGCCTTTCACGTCCCGAATCCTTGTCGTTTCCATCGCTGCAGTTCCCTCTAGGAACCAAAACTGACCCTTTTACAACACTGCAACTATAAGACTTGTCATCTTCATTGCCTAAACCATGCATATTGTTGGAGTTGATGGACAAAGTCGGAACACGAACGACAACGGGTTTCGACGGATTATGATACCGGGGACTGGAACTAATACTAGACATGTTGGTGTTGCAGTTGCAGCTTGATGATGTGATGATAGTGTGCAAAGAGGAGAGGGTTATATATAAAGGGGGATGTGGGGGAAACGGAGTGCACGTCACCATATGATGGGTTTCTATGGTTTTCAATACATAAACGTTTCATTAGAGCTTAGAGTCTCACGATTGTGTGGCTCTTTCATGTGCCACAAAGAAGGGTGAGAGGTGGTGGACCGTGAATAATGGTGCATAGGGTCCAATGTGGTTGGTGTATTGGCTTTTAGATGAGGTTTTGAGGTGGACAACCGTCTGTATGCACAAAACATATGTTTGATTTTCTCCTTGGGGGAAAGATGTGGACCTACTCCAAACTAAGGTCAGATATTTTCTCCCACATTTTACCTCTAAATTTTGTCCAACTTTATATGTTTGATTTTCTCCTTGGGGAAAGATGTGGACCTACTCCAAACTAAGGTATATTTTCTCCCACATTTTACCTCTAAATTTTGTCCAACTTTATTATTTATTTATTTTATAAAATATTATTTACAAATTATTTTTTCTCATCAAATCTGTTAATATTTTATTTTATTTTAATTAATCTTGAGTAAATATAAGATAATATATGTTCAAAGATAACTCTCAACATTTTGACATTAAACGCTTACACTCCTGAATGTCATGGTGCTTGAACCCTAGTCCTCAAAAACCACTTGATTCATGCTATTAATATTTTATTCTTAAATATATATATATATATATATATATTTATAATTTTTATGGTATTTTATCTATTAAATAATATTAAAAATATTAATTAGACGGCTGAAAGGGAATACGAGAATATATATATATATATATATATATATATAATTAAAGAGGCATAATTTTAATTAAATATATTCAATCAAAGGCGATGATATTTAAAATAATTTGTGAATAGTATAACCATACTCACAAACTCAACAAACAAACAAAAATTCTTCGGTTGAACCCAACTCATTGGATACAGGCTCTCAGTCGGATTAGAATTTTTCAAAATCATTTTACCCAAACCCAAACTCACCGAAATTCGCTAAACTATTATCAAAGAAAACTTCTAATTGGGCTCGTGAAGCCCATTCAACTCCTAACACAACTCAATCTTTAGACAGATCTACTCAATAGTGAGTAAAAAAAACAGTACACTTAAAATAGAATAAAAAAGTCAAACAAATAGAATCTGAATATATTTCCAAATTTTATCAAGTTTGAAAGAAGAAAGGCTAGGAAGCATATATAAGACACGGTTGCTTCATATCATTAAAAAAAACATCCATTAATGGAATAATAGCTTTATTCTTTCTTTCTTTTGTCAACTTCAAGATGATAAACCTGTGGATAGTGTATACATAAATGTTTTCCTAAGAATTGCAAACAAATCTTAGCCTTGAAACGAAAAAAAAAAAAGAAGGAAAATTGCATCAAAGATAGCTATGATTTTCTCATGCTAAACATGAAAATTTTGTTCACGTCACATTCTTCGCAACCTTCCCGTGTCCTCCCCTTCTTTCTTGATTTTTAACAATAAGGGGTTAGCGAGATATGGGCTTCGTGATGATGGCAGAAAGACAAGGTAAAGCCATTACCAGGAACATGAAGAGGCTCAGTCATTCACTCTTAACAGATCGGTAAATGTAGCGAACAAACATCAGGGAAGAGCGGAAGCCTACTGTGCCGAGCATCAAGAAGAATGCATAGCACATGCAGGCATTGTAGCCCACAAAGAATGAAAATTGCAATAAGCCACTCATGCTTGATCTTGCGTAGAAGTAAATACCATAAGCAAACATGAAAATAGAGGTTGATCCTCCACACAGAACAGATCTGCATCAAGCGCAAAAATACGACATGTGTTTGAAATGTTATGGCAATGCAAGGGGGAATTAGGAAAAACAGACAATGAAACACTTATTTCAGATAATGAAGAGAAGCTACTTTAGCTGGATCCAGGAAGAGAAACTGAAAGAAATGAATGGAAAAGTTTCCAACAATAATCAGCATCATTTCTCATTCATAAAACCCTCTCATCTTTTTGCTCCTAGCCTCCAACTCAATACAACAAAATCCAACAAAGCTGTTATTTATTTATTCATTTATTTTTATACAGGGTCGCTGTTATTGAAGAAAAAACTATTTCAAAGTATTTGCTTCAATATATGGTTTTCTGATAACTTAAAAGAACCAGAAAATTGAGATCTTGCAGCCAGTTATAAACACTGATCAGTTCTAAACTATGTCACTTAGACTGAGGTGTAAGGGTCAGACATGGCTACGAGAACGGATATTTTCAGTTTTTTACAAGGTTTCAATGATTGGAAGGGTCCTTAGAGGATCATATTCCCGTACCCATGTTAGATTATGTCTAGGAAAAAATGAAGAGTTGCAGTGACATAGGTCCTAAATATATGAAGGTGGGCAGCAATAAAAATAACATAGCAACAAGATCTCATATTACAATGAAAGTTCTACATATATGAAGTACAGAAGCTTAGATAACAACCTTCATTAACATGCAAGTAGTTATGTTCAGTGTGTGTATTCATGTGCATTAAAATCCATGTATATAAAGTTGCAAGGGAACATACCTCCACCACCATTGATAATCTTCCACAGATAGCTGAATATATGTCAAACCAACACTTAATATCGCAGTGAGCAGGATGAGGATGATGAACATGATAAACAAAATGCTGGGAAGAGTGAATATCCTGTATCCCCACAAGCTCGCATATAAATGTTGTAACTCGAGGACAATGGCACTAAAAGGTAAGAAACCCCCAAGAAACATCTGACAAGGAGTTTTCCGGTACCATGCCAATGGTGGAATGTCTCTTGGGTATCTTTTTGTAGCACAAGGTGGCTGAAATTCAGACCTAAAGCGGTTTCCTATGACCCCACCCAACACAAGCAATGGAATGGTGAGAAAAGTGTATATGAGAATAATAACCATGATAGTACCAAAAGGGAGTGCGGCTGTTGCCCCATAAGATACAGCAACCACATTAAGGATGGAACCTATCACAAACAAGGGACCAGCATACATGATTCCAGCCAAGAGGACACTCCTTCCCTGAAAATTGATTCTTTTTATTTTACAAACAAGCAAAAAGGTTCCTTCAGTATGTGCAACGTTAAATTATATTTAAAACATTACCCATCCAGTTTCAGCAAACTGACAGTGGAAGGAAACCGTAGTGTACCCAGCAACTACAGATGTCAGAGAATATAAAATGACAAGTGCAGTGCAAAGTGTTCCACGATTGTATGGATAAAGGACACCAAGAGATACCAACACAAATAAGCAGCAAACTCTGAAAGGAAACGCAACAATGTTAAAAAGAAATCTCAAACTTTCATATTGGGATAACTAAACATAGCATTAGACCACGAAAGTCAAGAAAGGGCATATTTTTTAATCTAAATTTGATTGGAAAACTATGTCCTATAATGGCAATTCTTTTGAAGTATCGTAAATATAATACTGATCCATAGTGAAGGCACCCAATATGAAATCATAAATAGGTAGTTGAAACAGAAGGCAACTGGAAAAAGAAAGCAAAAGAAAGAGGAACATGAAGAATTTGAAGGTGAACAAGTTTAGTTTAATTAAAATATACCATTAATCAGCAAGAGGCAGTAGATCCCAGTGCATGTATCATACCAATCTTATGTCATTAGCCAACTGCCAACCCCACGAAGTGGAGAAGACTGTTAGTTATTCTTGTTGAACTTATCAGATATCAACTAGTATAAATAAAAACAAGATGCCAAACACTCGGGAGAAAATTAGTGAGGAGCTTACAACGTTAGCAGTTGAGTACCCATGCCCATGACAGCACAAAAAAGGGACTTATTTCGAGGATATCTAAATATGTCACCATGAATATATTTCCAACCAACCTCCCTGTCTTCTTCTTCATCATCTCCAGTTGAAAACCTGCTTTTCATGCATTGAACCTTAGCCTCAAAGTATAAAACAAGCAATACTATAGGTCTAAAACTAGTTCACATAGTCAACAATAGCATACGGAAAATTACGTTCTCAAGTCATTCTTCAGGCGCCGCACGAAAAGCAAGGCAAGTAATCCTATCAACAGCACAATAGTGATAAATGAGTTGATGAATGAAAACCAATGAATTTTCTGGTGAAATGGGAGGGATGAAGCCCTTGAATATCTATCCATTCTGGTATCAAAAGCAGCTGACGTTGTATTCCAGGTAACTGAATAAGTGAACTCAACATCAATCCCAACATCTTCTGTTATATCAACAACTCGATTTGGGTCACCAATTGCATGTACTTCTATAACATGGTTTCCATTATAAAACACATTAAATTCTACATGTTTGAACAGAAAATACTTGGGTGATTTGTCCTCAAGTGTCCAACCGTAATCTTCAATTTTCCCAACAAATCCCCAAAACGGTAGATCGTCATAGTACATCTGAAAGTAAAAATCGTTAATGACGGCATCTCTAAATTTTGCAACATCATCTCCTTGAAGCTTCTTGTGACACAATGTCTCTGCAACTTTGTTCTCCCGGTAGTTCAACTTATATAGAGCACTAGTCAAACGATCACCACTCAGAACTTCCCCGAGGGACTCCTTCTTTTGTATTACAGGATCTGCAAGCCACAAAGTGCAAACTTACAACTCCAAACTCCACAAGCTCAAAAATTGAAAGAGATGAAACCTCGATGCTACCTTTTAACTTTTGGCAAAGGAAAAAGACAATAAAACAGAGGAGGAAAAAAACATTTAAGTGATAAAATTGTGAGTTCCACAGTGTAACTATAAGATCCCATGACCCAGAATCTAGAGAGGCTTGGTTTAAAAACATCATCCACGGTGAATGTAGGATAATTTTATTTTAAACAATTTTCAATGTTACAACTTTAGAATTTAACCAAATGTAAACAAATGCTAATTTTGCATTACTCAAAGTTTATACAGATTAAAGTAGTTATGAAATTCTTCACCATGCATAATATCAAACTTAAGAAGTAATTCCGATGATTGTTGCTAACCTGGACGGCAAAATGGCAATTCATAGTATTGGTAAGTCTCACTGCAAAACAATAACAGTGTGGGTAGTAAAATGTAAGACCAGAAGGACTTAGTAGACGGAAAAGGAAATGGAAATTGGAAGTTCCAAGTAAAATTGGCCATTAACTTCAGCTAAGAACAAAAAGTTAACCTAGAAACATAATTATTTATCTCTCTCCCAAGGCAGCGTGTTCTTCAAAGTGGTTGTGTATTTAGTAATTTTAACCATAAAAAATCTCTAAAATCCCTTAAAGGGATTTGAATTGATATCTCAATAACCAGCACCAAGATGACTCGAGTTTTTCAGTATTGACCGACAACTAACATAAATAACAGGGTCATTGTCTACATTTAGTTCAGATCATATCCTTCAACATCCTTGTAAAGTAACTACTACACTTTCGTAAACCCAAAATCTTTTAGAAACAGTTGACTTTAAAAAATGAAAATCAAACTCTGACCCATCAAAATGTATTGATTCCCACATCAGTTTAAACAATACCCATTGCTTAGAAACACGTAATTAACTAAACTCCCAACAAAAAAAAATTGAAACTTGAGTAAAGATTGAGTTTTCATTGTTCTGGGAACCTGGGATTGTCGAGGGGGGCAACTTTATTGACAAATAAAGGGACATGATCTCCAACATTGTAGCGGTGATTGTTTGGTGATGATGCAACAATAGATCGTGGATCTGTTAACAGCAGTAATATTAGCAGTAGACTGCGATTAAAAGCTTCCATTTTACTCATTTCTTCCCAAAGCCGAAGACTTCAGAGTCAGAGCCGGGAATCGAACGGAAGCTGTTGAACTGAAAGACTTTCGATTTATTTATTACTGCTTCAAATGCATCGTTTTACTTCTTGTGCGTCGACAAACGCTGCGTTTAGTACTATTTTATGCTAAATATAAACTACCCTTGGCCTTATCTTTAAGGATCGTTAAACAACTTGTTTTTGTTTAAACTTTTTTTTCCTCAAGTTATATATGTATTTGGAAAAAAAATTAAGTCAATATACGTTAAGTGTTACTTTTGAGTAAAAAGTCAAAAGTTAAAAAATTATTTTATGAATTTTCTTATCATATTATCAATGATTCTAATCAATTAAAAGAACTCGTATTAATTTCTTTTTCATATCATTCATTCATACATTAATGTTTTTATTTTTCAAACCAATTTTTTCATTTAATGCATATCACAATTAAAAATTAAATTTAGAGACTACTTTTAAGATATTTCTTAATTCTCTTTTCTTTCTCAACAACACATCAAAGTTGGATATAAACATTAGTTATGTCATGAGCTCAGTAAAGACTAAATATCCGATTTTGATACGTATTGTTGAAGAAGAAAGGAGAATTAAGAATTTTTTTATAAAAAAACTTATAAATTTAATTTTAATCGTAATATGTATTAAATGAAGAAATCGATTTGAAAAGGAAAGTTTTAATTCATAAATGACATGAACAAAAGATTGACATAATTATTTTTAATTGGTTGAAATAATTGATGATGGGTGAAAAATATCCATAGAATAATCTTATAAAAATTTGGAGGCCTGCTTCAAATCAGTATCTGATGGAAGGTTAAGAATTAATTAACTGATTGAAACCTTGATCATCTGAAATATAGGCAACATTGGGCTCCCACAGCAATGGCAAAAGCCTTGATGCAGCATTTTGGGTCTCCCACCGTGCAGGTTCCAGAGCTGTCAAGTAGTACAATGCTTAAAATCATTGAATCTGAAAATGATTAGATAAAGTCTGCGTACATTAGTAATTGCATGCAATAGAGGGAGTGAGACAAAAGCCAAAAAGTATCTATTGAATCATATACAGTTTAGCTTACCTCCCGTCAAAGGTTTAGCCATTTAGAAATACTCGTTTGGACACGTGGTGTTGAGATCCTTTGCATGAGAACAACTGTTCTGTTCTTGAGAAGACAGAACAGCTTAGAGACATGAAAAAATTCCATGTATGCCAATGCATCTTTATATAGTACAGGATTGCTGGTGTTAGAAAAGAGTGCCAATTAAGGTTTTTTATGTTCTTCAGTTTCTTTTAGATTTGAATCTGTAGCATTTGTATTGGGGCTAACAGAGGAGGAAAATCCTGAAGATCTATAGCAGAGCTGTTGTTTTGAGGTCTTATAATGATGGGTCTAATGGCATGCATAAGCTTTAATCTAGATATTTTCCTTTTAATTTCTGAAGGTTCGTGAAACAAAGTCTCATGCTCATGGACATGGAACCGGTGATGAAGAGAAAATTATGACAAGAAAGCAAAAGAAGAAACAGTTGAAAAGTAATGAAGGAAAGGAATCTCCAAAGAAACCCAAGGTTGAGGGTAGTAATGATCAGTATGAAGCATGTTGAGGGAAAGTTTTGAAGCTGATAACCAGGATTCATCTGGTTATGATGCTTCAGTTGCCATCAATTGGTTAGTCTATTTTCATGCAAATAATTCATCAATGAAATCACCCAGAGCATTATAATCAAATTTTGTTTTCTGTTGGTAGCGTTGATATGTTATATGGACCACTAGAGAAGTGCCAAATATTCAATGGTGATTTGGAGTTTGATGGCAACCGCTATTCTTGCAAGGGAACTTATAGCGAGTGGTCTTCTTGTGTATACAAAACAAGAAGCCCCGCAATGAAGCAAGAACCACCCAAATTGCCTCATTCTGCCATGAATTCAGATATTGTTGATGTGATACAATCCCATTCTTGCACCTACTACTCTTTTTCTTTGCAACATCTTGCTCACGGTTGAAGGCAAGGGAGTTTTCACATTCATTTTATTTACACATTATATGTTTAGTAGTTATATGATATGTTATGTTCATGTGCATTATATCATCATCTATTGTTATGTCTTATTATCATATGTTATGCATTTTATGTTTAGGTTGCTAATTATGCATGAACACCATTATAATGTTCATATTCATTAAGTATGAAGCATGATAGTAGCCCCACATTCCTATACTTAGTATATACTATGCATTTGTTATGTATATCTTCATTCCTAGCTTAAACTATGTATATTCTATAAGTTTGCATCATTTCATAACTCATGCATATCCATACTTACCTTATGTGATGTTTATGTTAACTCATGCATTCATTCCCAACTCATCTTAGCTCATTAGCTCATCTTAGCTCATTTGCTCATTTGTATGATTAACATAGGCGGTAGAAAGAATCTAGATTGATTCTAGCTCACACATAACTTATTTGATTGTTTTCTTTGCTTACTTAGGTAAACACATTGGTGATGCATTACATGGTATCTCGGAGTAGTTAAAGGACAAGTATGGCAGCTCGGAATTAGCTCAAAGCATGGATAAGTAGTTGAATGAAGTTGAACGAGAGCAGAATGAAGTTGAACGAGAGCAGAATGAGCTGAATGAGAGTTGAATGTGTCACTAACTAGCTGGTTGAGTTATCTTAGCTCACACTCACCTAGCTACCTAGCTAATACTTGCCCTAACACCAAGTGACTACCATGGTCGAGCATGACATCTTCCTTAGGCGTGGAGCACATGAAACATCAAGGGAGGATCTTATGCATCAAGCTTACCATATAACTTAAGGCATGGAATACACATGACACCAAAAGAGAGATCTTATGGATGGCTACACACTATCCTACCACGTGACACCCTTTAAGCGCCCACATTCAAAATGAAGAGAGTTGTTCATTCGACCAAGGCATAATCATTCATCACGATGCCAAATTCGACCAAGCATCATTGCTCTTTACCCTAGCTGAACCAACAAGTGTATTTGTCTCATTTGTAATTAATTAATATGTCTTTATGAAAAGAAACAAAGGTTTGTCGAATCACCATGTTACCATTCAGTCGCACCCTTCCATTTCCTATAAATATTTAGGTATTTGCGTTGTAAACAATCATCCTTTGATCAGTAATATACTTGTAAGTGTTATCTTTTTTTTCTTAGTCCTTTTGTGACTTTATCGACTTATCAAGTAGCAATACTTGTGGCATCAACCCCTTCTATTTTTCATTGATACTTCTGGTTCCTAGGTCTTTATACCTAGTTAGTCAAAGTCCTTGTTTACCACCCCTTAAGAGAACATATAAAGTTTGGGTCTACACTCTTTAATATAAGTTCTTCTTTGAGTATTTCTTTAAGATACTATCATTCTATCACCACCATCATCATCCCATTTCTTTCATAAACCATCACCATGATCATATCATCTGAACCAACCTTCACTTTTTCATTTCAAGCCCACTTTCATCACCCTACATCAATTGTCATGCCACCCTATATAAAGTGGTATTCAGAAAATTGGTGGGAGAAGCAAAGTGCAACAAAAACAACAATAACTAGAACAAGTGAAGCCCTATCAACAAAAAGAAGAAAAAAAGTACAAAAAAAAGTGCATAAGTGAAATTCAAACAAGGACACTCTAAAACATGAAAATGAGTTCAAAAAAAAAGAAATTTCAAAAAGAAAGAACAACAACAAAAAAGGGTGAAAAGGCACAAATAACATCAACTTCAACCATCAAGTCAAGTAAACATCATTTTTGAAGACTTGCCTAGTAAGTAAACAAAAAAAGAGTGATAGTGAGGTTGTGAGTAACGTGCCTAGTAAGTAACATTTTATTTCATTTCTTTCTATTTCTAAGCCACCCTTTGCATTATATTTTGTTTCCCTACCCCTACTAACATTTTGCAGCTGATGCATACAAAGTAAGCCTATTTAAGAAGTTTTGAGTAAGTTTACAAAAGAACTTTGAAAGAAGAGATCTAGTGGAAAAAGGCTTGAGTGTCGTAAGATTAGAAGAGGACGTGTAAAGCCATTAAGTCTTAGAGTGTAAACACGAGTGGATTGAGTGACATTTCAAGTTTCTTTGGAGTGTTTTCGTGAGGCTTTGTGCGAGTACTTTGGTAAGGTCCTTATACATTTTCTTTTTTTATTTCACTAACCATGCCTCGAGAATCAGGTCAATCACCATGTGAAGAAGTAACTAACTTGCAAACACAAGCAATAATGTAGGAGATGGCAAGGTTAATCAAATTGGAGATTGAACCTCCATATGAATGAATTGATCATATTGAAGCATCCATAGGCGTTCCTAGAATGCAGACCCAATAAAGACAAGATAAGGAAGAGTATGAAGATGTGGATAATGTTGAATTTGACTAAGTCTCACAAGGTTTAAGAATAAACCATCCAAGGGAACAAAGAGGTCATTATTTCTTTGATGATAACTATAACAATATTAGAGTAAACATCCCTTCATTCCATGGAAAGACGGATCCTGACGCTTATCTTGATTGGGAAACCAAGGTGGAACATGTCTTTGAATGTTATAATTGTTTGGGGAAAAAGAAGGTCCAGATGGCAACCATGAAGTTCATAGATTATGCTCTTGTTTGGTGGGATCAATTGGTGTGCTATGAAAAGAAAAAGTGAATGCCCCATCAATAATTGGAATGACATGAAGGCTATCATGAGGAGGAGGTTTATTCTAGTCCATTACCATAGAGATCTATTCCATAAACTCCAGAATCTGAAACAAGAAAGTAGAAGCAGTGAAGATTACTACAAGGAGATGAAAATAACCATGATTAGAGCTAATGTTGAGGAAGATATAGAAGCAACAATGGCAAAGTTCTTATCTAGATTAAATCTTGAAATTACTAACCTTGTTGAATTGTAACACTGTGTAGAAATTGAAGAAATGGTGCACATGGCTATGAATATTGAACGACAACTCAAAAGAATGTCTTTAAATAGAGGCAAAACTTCTTTAAAAAAGTGGAGGCAAGAAGATAACAACTTCTGG